TAGATCAAATGTATTTACTTTTTCTCGTAAAGAAGTTTTGCCATACATGCTAAATGTCAAATAATACGTTGATCGGTTGAATTACTCCAATTTTCACTAATGTGACCGCTAAGGATTTTATTCGTGAAATAGGTAGCTAATATACCAATTATGCTACTAAGAAAAAAATGTCTAGATTCGATATGGTGACTCCCGGTTTAACTTCAACCCAATATGGCCGCCAACCCAATATGGCCGCAAGTCAGGCTCACCAGTTCGCATTGGAAAATTTCAGACCATTCTGTTCAGTAGAATTGAGGGCTTGAACCCCGACAATGTTTCCAGAATACAATGCAGCTGAACTTTGAGTAAAGAGCCTCAATCCTTATCTGATTTAGTAGAAATCATAATAATTTGTTGAGTTGTACACATAGTTGTAATACATCCAATCAGAAAGTGTCTTTATCTTGTTATCAGTTAAAACGCTAACTATATGTGCAATACTGGTGAGTATTTTGGTTTTATATACATGTTTTCCAAATTATTTGACTGATTTCTGGTTAACAAATTAATAGGAAGTACGACTATATAAATAAGTGGAATGAAAAAATAAAAAAATTTCAATGAATGAACGAATGAACGAATGAATGAATGAATGAATATGAATGAATGAATGAATGAATGAATGAATGAATGAATGAATGAATGAATGAATGAATAAAGTTTCTTGGAAAGAGAACAACACTATGTTTTTGATTTATTGAACTGGAACAAATACTAAACACAGATGCAGTAACATCATACTCATATTTCTTTGAAAAAATGGGTAAAAATGGTTTGGCAATGATTTATTGGAAGAATAATTAACAACAAAATAGATAAAATATTATGCAAAATGCTTTCCATGGGACCCAACGTTAAAGCATAATTTCTTTTTAGTATTAAATATGCCACTCAGTGTTTAAAGTAGCGAGACTATTATTTGTGTTGAAAATTATGATTTTCACATTTATTTATTAATTGATGAAATGCACTATAAACTTTCATCTGACAAAGTCAACGTAACCTAGAATGTCATGTAAGTTGGTTAAAATGTAGATTTTCATAAGGGAATCAAGGCAGCTT